GATCCTTGCCTTGTTGCGCTCGCCTTCTATTTAAAGCCTCAAACTCATCGTTCGTCAAATCACGTTCCATGTTGAGGGCCTGATCCTATTGGCTTGAGAGATGCTTCGGCATTGCATTGGGTCAATGAGCGAACTTCAACCAAGCAGCTGGTGGGTGTCCCTACAGAGGAGAATGCTATTATAAAATCCTCCAACCTGCAAGAGAACCCGGACAGGAGAGAGAGATCCTAAGAAGGAAGGAGTGGTTGCTTCCCAGAAGGTGAGTGATTGCACTTGCTGTAATTCTGACACGCGTAGGCCGCCGACCGTAGCAAGGAGGAAGCCTCCGGAGGAAGCCTCCCGAGCAACGCAATGCGAGTGCGCTCATACAGGCTGGGCTATGATGCAGTGAAAGCAGAGGCTTTTGGCTCCCTGGTGCTGAAGACATCTCACACGAGGACTGATTCTAATACAGACCATCTGAGAAGCTATGTACTAGTACGGATTCTGAGCAGGCCGCCGCTGTGCTCTTGGCCTCACACTGCTCGACGATGGTCCTGGTAGCATGACTCTGATGCCTTGGTAGTGAAGAGTCCAGGTCAAGTAGTCCATCCGTTCAGAGAGAGCTTGGGTGTCGGAAAGACGATAGAGACGCTCGATGTGAGCACCATAGATCTGGGCACTCTGAGCGAGCTGAGTCACCTCTGCATTCAGTTGCCGGACTTGCCCATGTAGTCTGACCTGATCCCGTTGCATTTCCTCGATGAGGCGAGCTTGAGCATCTATAAGCTTCTGGGCTTTACTTAGCGCAGTATCCAGCTCCCAAAGTGCCACTCGATCAGCCTCCGTGAAGATCCAGCCCTCTCTGGCATACATGCGTTCAGCTCGGTATGACATTGACTCTCTACTAGCCAGCTATGGGATTGATTGCGCGAGCAAGAAAAGCTGCTAGGATAAGAGAAGAACATATGCAGCTGGGAGAGGAAGGCAAGCTGAGGGACAAACCTGCGCTTATTGAAGGCAATGCAGAATTTTTTTGCCTCTATGTGAAAGGATCTTCTCAAGCTGAAGGTGCTCTATGAGCTAGCTGCTGCCGGATGCCTGCTTTGCAAGCGACTTAGCTATTGGACTACGCTGAACGCTCCCTGGCCTTAGTGAGCCTTCAATGGCTGCCCAGACTGCATTGTCCGTGAGTCCGGACAGGGCTTGATGGAACTTACCTTTGAGATGTTGGAGTTGGACCTGGATGTGAACTCGAACTGGGCCACCTGTCATCTTCTCGACGATCGGACGCGATGGCATGAGCCTGGAGATCAACTGTGGGTGCTGCGCAAGCTCCTCCAAGCACGTTTTGAGCAATTGAACGACGTCTTCTGCGGGGACTGCCCTGCGAGCAGTGTCAAGCACCGTCTTGTCTTGCTCACTGCTCCACTGCTGGTAGACAAAGGCTGGAGCTTCGGTGTCCTTCACACGTACCACCCAACCCTCCTTCTCCGCATCCGCTAGCACGTCTTCTTTAGTCTGAATCTGCTCTACTCTTTCTAAGGTCCAGGTACATGACCCAGCTCAGTTCCTGCTGAAGTGTATTCAGCGAGTCCTCATGGTTGATGGACAGCCTAGTTAGGGACTGTAGGACTTTCTCATTTGAAGCGCCCCGGCCAGTGCCCCGACCCCTACCTTTGGCTTTCTGCTTTGGCAGGTTCTTCGGTTCAGCCTGTCTGATCTTCTTGGTTGGAGAATCATCTTCATCTGGCTCATCCGCACGCTTGGATTTGGAGGGTGCTGACGATTGTGCAAAGGCCTGCCTCATGGCTACCTAGCTGAATCTATACTCTTACATAGAAGGCCAAGTAAGAACCTCGACATATTTGATCCGAGAGGAGCGTGGTGCGTCTTGGCGATTCACTATCATCAGCTAGGTACGCTACGCTCTCTCTCCAAAATCCCGCTCTGTAATGTCCAGAGTTCCAGTCTTCACCGATATGAATGATAAATGCATAGAGGCCAAAGGACACAGCTTCTGTTGAGGTTCCGTTATCTAGAAACATTGGCATCTCAAGAACTGTGTCCAGCGCTTGTGGGCGGGAAGTTTTGATTTGCTGATCAAATCTTTGGATCTGTAAGCAAATTAGTCTTGTATCTGGAAGCAAGGCAAACACACTACCCCTGTTCGTCCATTGTGTTACTGATTGCTGAAGAGTCGAGAGTCCATCCGGCGGCTCGGGTAGATACAGAATCAAGCCACCTTTTTCCTCAACACTTATGCGTTCCTCCGGTGCTGAGATATGAACTCGCGCCTCCCACTTATCTGAAGAAAGATCCGGGATCCGCTGAGAGATATGCAACAGAAATTGAGATGCATCCTCCTGCCTGGGTCGTAATCGCCATCCTGCTAGCAGCGGACGAAGATGTCGCAACCTCCGAACATCCGCATGAGAGGATCTGCCATTCAGGGAACCTATTTCCGTTAGGATGGAATTTAAGGAAGGATCTGGGAACAGTCCATCTGACAAGAGAGAGAGAAGGATATGAACGACCGTGTGTGCATAGCACAGTTGATGCGGATTATGATAAGCTAGACGCCAGGCAGCGTCTTGCATGGAAGCTGTGGGAGGTGCAGTGGTTGAACGACCCGAGACGCGTGCAGTGTATGTCAGCAAAGTAGCTCGGCTGCTGGAGGAAGCCTCCTGGGAGGAAGCCTCCCTGCCTCTCACCTGGCCAGTTGGAGGATCCGCACTAAAGAGATCTGGCAGTTCCATAGGATTGGCGCAAGCTGCACTCATGGCGTATGTCTGAAGCAGAACCACACATTGCTCTGCATGTCGTACTGGAGCATCTACCACAATACGACAGTACCTACATTCTTCTTTTTTGTGCAGGAGGCGCTTATGTGTTCGCATGTTGGCAAGAATGGATGCCGAGGATTGTGCCCAGAAAGCAGGATGAGCTTTCTGAATGTGCTGTTTCACTCCTTTGTGGCCAACAATGTATTGCCCACAGAGACTGCAGTTCGTTAATAGATGCTGAGTGACATGTCTCTTTTTTAGTAGAAGATCAGGATCCTTCTTAAGTTGTTCCTGCACGCTAGACTGATAGATCATTGCTATGCTTTCTGAGCTTGTACAGGATTTGGCTCGTTCTTTCAGCTCGTGCAGCTGAGGGCAAATGCCTGACTCCACATGTCTGCGAAGTTGATGCATTGTGCGCAACTGCCTGTTGCATGCCGCACATTGCGGAAGTCCTTTGCAGCTATGCACAGTGACCTGAAATTTTGGGCCTAGCTGATTCGCACGCTGTCCTCCATGCTTCACCAGAGTATGTTGCTGAAGACCCTTAGCACTGGAGAATTGCCGATCGCACAGAGAGCACGGTACCGCCTGATCTGCCTCAGTCAAGTCTAAATGCATGCTCTGAAGCTCCAGTTGCAGCGCAACAATCCTACCTCTAAGTCCCAGATGCCATTGTATGTTCTGATCCGGGTTGGACTTCTGACAGGCATCTAGTGCGTCTTGATAGTTTTTCATCTGGCTGATCAAAACTGCTTGAGGAGACTGAACCTTGTAGTGCTCGAACAGAGTCTTCGTGTCAATATGGCTGTAGTGCTGATGTTGCTTAAAGATGGATCTTAGCATCCTAGAGTATTTACTCTGAAGCTTCTGAAGACCTGATGAGGTGACGCCAGTGGCCACAAGCCCATGCAAGAGTGAGGATTCCACATAGACCCTCCAGATCTCCAACTTCTTTGAAGCCTCCAAGGCCTTAGTGGAGCACAGGATGTGTCGAAGTAGCTCAAACTTGCCTTGAGCTTGGGCGATCCTATAGTCAACAGTCTGGTCTTTGTAGGATCCATAGCTGAGCTGCACCCCTAGATATGTCAGTTTGTGATGAATCGGAATCTTATGTCCTGAGGGAAGGACGATGTGCAACTGCTTCTCTTTGCGCATCGTGTGCTTCTTGCGAAAGATGGACTGCTGAGTGCCCTGAACCATTAGCAAGGCTTTGGACTTCGCTGGATTGACTTCCAGCCCCACGTCCTCAAGAGATTGAACGAGAGCCTCTATTCTGAGCAGGACTTTCTGAAGTTCAGGAAAGCTCGAGAAGGTTTCCTGGAGCAGGAAATCGTCTGCAAATACCGTTAGGATTTCCCTAGCTTGCTTGCTATCTGGACCCCATTTCTGCTCCATTCTGCTCATGACTAGAAGTGTCAGCGCAGACCACAATGCCGGGGCTAGCTTACAACCTTGTTTGATTCCTGAAGAAGTGGGAACTTGAATCTCTAGTCCACCTGTGCCCATGTTGTAGGAGGTCTCACTGTGTAGTTGAACTACCAGTTCTTTCGTAACAGGGTCTGTTCCCAGGCGATCCAAGGCAGCTAGCAGCTCATGTCTATTAACAGAATCAAAAGCTTTGCTCAGATCAACCGAAATAGTGAGTGCCCCTGACAGCTGAGCCTGCTTGGCTCCGCGTTGGGACTTGTGCAGGTCCCGCGATGCTCTTGACGGAGCTGCTGCGCGAAATCGAGGTGCTGACATGCTTTCGCGATAGCGTCCCGCACCCCCCTCTGCCGAATGTAAGCAAATTGAGGCTGAAGCTGGGAGCTCACCTGCAATGCTGGTGCAATGCGAGTCTTCACTGCGCCTGCTAGCACTTTGCCTGGCACGCTGATGACTCCTATGGGCCTCAGGTTTTTCATGGCGGTGGCTGGCTTGCCCGGCTTGGGGATCCATGCAATTCGAGGGTCCTTTAGATAAGGGGAAATTTCTGATTGAGACACCTCAGAGTTGATTAGACCTGCTATGTGTTCGTGGGCGTCAGGACCTAGACTCTTCCAAGCTGATACTGGGGCTGAGGTGCTGGGGACTGCTTTCCCTACTGGCACTGTCTTGATTTGCGAGGATACCTGCAAGGCGGTGATCGCTGTTCTGGGCACAGCGGCAACTGAGTGCAAAGGAGGACTTTTGGAGAAGATTTGATTCGAGTATTCGCGCATAGTTTTTAGCGAGGCCTCCGTATCAAGCGGCTCACCTGCTTGATCCCTTAGGTTGACTCTCTGCACTGGGCGCCACGGAGCAAGTTTCCTGAGAGCATGAGCCAGTTTGTGGGATTGTTGCCTTTTATCTTCCTGGGCTTGTAGAAGCAACTGCTCTTGCTTCTCTAGCTTTCTTTGTTTTTGCTGTTTTTTGAAAGCCCGCGCCTCCTCTTTGATGTCCTCCACAAGCTTCTGGCAGTCTGGATTATGCTCGGTTCCAGCCCGCTTGTGCGCCTGGATTTGCCGCACTTTCTTCCAATATTCCTGATGAATTGGACCTGCTGCTGGCTGAGACTTGCGTGGAGGAGGATAGTGCTCAGCTGATACACGAACCATCACTTCATCCAGTTCTTGCCAAGACGGTCTCTCTTGCATTGTCCTCACCACTGCTTCCGTCAGACGATGTGAGTATGCATGCCAGTTGTCATCTTTCCGCCGAAAGCTCGCATCCAGGGCTGTGGCATCAAACGGCCGTGGCTTGCTGGGCGTAGGACTGTAAGGAGGAATGAACAGAGTAGCTCGCACTGGAAAATGTTTTGATCCATCTCTGTAGGCAGCCACAGGAAAGTTCTTATCAGAGTAGGCCTCCTTGGATCTCCTCCGAGCATCGTGCAGTCTGACCAGCATAAAATCGATCTGCGAGGAATATGTGCCATCACTGTTAGTATACGTACTGCGATGGCCAGAAGCCCATGTGTTCAGCGCAGTGAGTCCACAGGATTTGCAGAGCGAGGGCAGTGTCTTCACATCCGCATTTGCAAACCGTACTCGATGAGGCACACTTGGTCCAATATGAGGACGTTCAGTCACCGCATGCGCATTGAAATCCCCAGCCACAATCAAGAAATCACGTTGCGGGACTCTCTGTATTCGATTTTCGAGCTGTGTCATCACGTCCTTTCTCCTGCCTCTGTTTTCCGTCTTCGAAAGCTTTGAATCCCAGACGTGCTGGTACAGGTTCAGGAGATGTATCCTGGATCTCTGCCACGGGATCATGACGTGCTGCAAATGCCCTGGAACAATGGAAGTGCTGCGAATTTCTGAAAGAGGAGCCAGTGAGCTATGCACCAAGACAACCAGGCCAGCCTTGTGTCTGCTTGTTGAGCCACAGGTTAAGACTGACCACGGGCCTGAGCTGTAGACCTGGTCCTGCTGCCAATGCGATTCCTGCAGGAAGACGATTTTGATGTTCTTGTACTCTGTTGTTGCCAAAAGGGCCAGAATCTCGTTCCAAACTCGGCTTGTAATTGAGCCTGCGTTCCAAGTAAGGACTTCCATGTCAAATTTGTGATGGATCTGTCTGTTCGGTTGAAAAGAACGCTTCTCCGCTTTCGCAGGAGACGCGAATTGTCCTTCATGAGCTCCTAGAGCCTGAGCTGTCAGAAGACGGCCTTTGTAAAGTGCTGCTCCCTTCGCCAGGGCAACTTTACAAGCTCTTTGGTAGCTTCGCTTGCCGGTTTTGTTCATGGTTAGCTGACTTCGCTGCGCATGCTGCTCAGCTTCATCGGGGGGCGCTACTTCCCGAAACCCTCGATTCTGATCCATGGCTGGACCCTGGGACTTGGGACCCAGGCACCCAAGAAAGCTCGCTACGGCTACGAGAAATAAAATCCTCATCTTGGGCCAGAATCTTACAACAACAACAACAACAACAACAACAACAACAACAACAACAACAACAACAACAACAACAACAACAACAATTATTGATAACACCATACCGACAACGTTAACAACAACATGAACAGCAGCATGCACAACATTAACAGCGACATGAACAACAATATGTTCGAGCCTGGGCGGTACTGGGGACCGGGCCGGGTTTAAGGGTTACGGGACTGAGGGTCCAAAACGCTGATGCTCATGAAAGAGAAGGGTGGGACCGATGTCGGGAAGGGGGAGGCAAGGGGAGGCAAGGCGGCTGGGGTCGGGATCTTCATTTTCCCTACAAAGGAAGAGAAAATCCGGCAGAGGCGTGGGGGGGGGGGGGAGGCCAGGCGCCAAAATGCCAGGGCAAATGACGTTTGGGGGGTAGGAGGCCGGGGCACGGACTTGGCAGGTCAGAGGGGCAGGGTGAACTATTGGCTTCTAGGGGGAAAGATCGGGAGTGGTTTTCGTGCTTCCCCTGCCCTACCCTCAAGGCCCGGGGTCGGCAGATGATTTTTAGGCAGTTGCCAGAACAAGTCTGCACAGGTGCGAGTCACACGCAAGGCTGCTGATAGAGCAGCACGGTCTCGCGACCTCAGGCCTTGGGTGGGAATTGTCAAGCGTACAGTCAGCAGAGCCGTGGTGTCAGGAGTTTGTTCGTGCCGGGGCATTCGCGCGGAATGATAAAAGTGGTAGGCCCGTCATGGTAGCATCAGCCGCCGATCTGCTGCCCTCGTTGCGGGTTTAGGGGTTAGGGGTTTAGGGGTTTAGGGGTTAGGGGTTTGGGGCTTAGGGTTTAGGGTTTAGGTGTCAGCTATACGATTTAAAGCCAGCCCTGCAGCCCTAAAGGCAAAGGCGGAGCAGATTCTGTGATCAGATCAGATTCCAAATTGTGAGGTCCTCGGCGCTTGGTGTGGAATGTTGAGGCAGGCACGATGGCTTTCAGGGGCGTTGCATTCAAGGCATTTCAGGTTGAAGGGACAGCTTCGGCATGCTTTCGCCTGCTGGTATATTTGGTTTGACTGCCAGGCTGTTTCATCTTCGCGTGGCTTTTGTGAATAATCCGGGATTGGACAAACTGAAAAGCATGCCCAACAGTCGCACATGAAGCCGCGCAACGTGTCTTTTTGAGCATCTGCACATCATGTTGTTCTTCGTTTGTCCCAATCTGAGCGTCGTGAAGGCATGTGCTCTGGAGCTTGGTCAAGCAATGCCAAATGCAATGCTTGCACCCCTGCAACAGAGATGGGCTTGGCCCAGATTCGGCTTCCGAAACTGGGCCCTGTGGATCCTGTGAATAACTTGTGAAAAATCTTAGTGTTGGTTAGTAGGGAATGGGGGAATGAGGTACCCTTCATAATCCCTTAAAGGGTATATATGTATGTATATAGGGCCCTAATTCCCTCATTCCCTGCTAAACAACAGCAAGAAAATGCTTGCTCGGATGAGATGCCATCTCCATCCTTTCAGCCGCAGATTCTCGCAGAGCTTTGGTGGCGTCAAGAACACTCGACCTTGTCAAGAACCCCAAAACCCCTGCCCTGGACAATACAGGCCCTGGTGCGTATTTTGATGCGCCAACGGAACCTCAAACCCTAAAGCTGGAGCCTTAACGCCCCTTAAGCATGCGCCTGACAACTGGGCCCAGTTTCGGAGACGCCTAGGTTTGGCGGCAGTGCATCCTTCCCGCCAATTTTAAGTTTAGCCGGCGCCGGTCCAGCTCGGTGACAAAATGCATTACGACCTGTTCAGGATTTACGGTGATTTATATGATGGATTGTGATGGTAGATGTGTGGAAATTTCAGGGAACTCCCGGTCAGTCTACGGGCTAGGTTTGTTTCCTGATATCATGGGAACCTTGGCATGTTCGCGTTTCGAGCAACCTGTCTCGTGTTTCATGTAGCAGGTTCTGGATGTCACGTTGTCTCACACAAGCCACGCACAATTTTAGCTGCTGACCTTCCCCGGGTGGCAAGTTCTAAGGACGCTACCAGTAGTGGAGGCCCGAAGCTCATGTTTCAAGCCGTTCTTCCCCGCATTCATGGCCGTAGCCGAACTGCAAGCCACAGTGCCGAGGGTAGGTTGGGGTTCCCCAAAATAGAAGCCTACGTCGTTCTCGTTTGCCAGGGGGTTGGGGTTCTCCCGTCCGCGAGCGTCGCACGGTGGCTGCGCAGTTGAGGAAACCCACCTCTTGGTGTCGTCGCACGTCACACGCGTCAAGGATGCATCGATGTCATGATCCTCGTATAGTAGTTGTTTTTGTTTTTGGAGCCTTCAAGCACCGATAAGTGGACCCAAAAGCGGCGACAGCTGGGAGGATGGCGACCTCGAGACACCCCATCCCGGTGTCGGCGCTTTTGACATGCGAGTACAAGTTGAGGCTCCAAAAGCCACGGCAGAAACTGAGGATTCCGATTCCGATCTTCCCGATCCGCCCGATCTCTACAAGTGTCAGCGCTTTTGGCACGCGAAGGGAAATTCAGTTGACGAGGCCCCAGACACGAGGACGAGTACGAGGATCCGACAGTAACCAGGGACGCCCGTTCCTTGCAATTGTCAGCACGAGTGACATGCGAAGACCAGACGTAAAACGACGACAGTTGCGAAGATCGCGACTTCATCATCGCAGGCAAGTTCGTCTCAACATTGTATCATACATTGCTGTGGCCATGACGTGTCTCCAATCGAGTCGTGTCGTGTGGACGTGCCTTTTCGTCTCGTTGCTTTGCGCATCGCGTCGTGTCCCATCAGAAGTATCTTCATGTGCCGTCTTTGCGTGGCGAGGGTCCTCGACTTCAAGTTCCCCTTTTGGTATCCACGTCAGGTCTGCCACCCTTTGACTGTGCAAGCTGGTTTAGGGGAGGATTGAGGGACGTCCGAGGCAAAAAGCGATCATGGGTTGAAGGCCTACTCGCCGAACACCGAACACCCGGCAGCCTTGAAGACCAAAGCCTCCTGGATTCACCTGGCTTATCAGAAACAAGCTGTCGAACCCTAAGCCGCAGCTATTCCCCGAACACCGGCTGCAGGCCTTAGGCCCAAGAATGAGACAAGCCGAGCCACCAGGCGGAGCCGCAGACCAACCTCAGGGACGATTCCCTCGTTGCTCATGAACGCTGAACCCCCCCGGTGCCCAACATGTGAAACTCCAAAAGGCATCTGGCCTGTCTAGCCTCTGGCGCGAGGTGCCCCGAACCCAAAGCCCACGAACCCCTTAGCCCAGCCCTTGACACAGCCTGCGAACCCTTGTAGCCTCGGGTCCCTGGTGCACCTCTGTAGAGCCACGCCGATGTGCCGAGGCCTTCCGTCCTCCGTTTGCCCAGTTGACGCCAGCATCTCTATGTGTTCCCAAGCGGGTTTTCCCAACAATGTGAAGTTTTCCCGTTGCAGGTTATGGCAAAGCCACCCACGCCCTGGCGAGAGATTGATGACAAGACTCCGGTGGAGTACGTGCAGGAGCAGTTTTACTCTGGGGTTTCATGAGGGTGCATAGGTGGTCCATGGGTTCAATGGAAGGTTCAGAGGAGGTTCCATAGGAGGGGGTCCCATAAAATTCCACAGGGGTCAGCAGAACGTCCAAGTCCATGGTTGGTCCAGAGCGGTCATGAAGATCGCAGACGCCGGCTTCAGGAAATTCTTTCCGGGCCGGGTGAGTAGCCTTTTGAACACCGAAAGGACAAGCATCTTTTTGGACACCCGCACAAGCAAAACAAGGAAAACCCCAAGAAAACAGACAAGCCAGAGTTCCGAGATGGGCTCTGAGGCTTTGACCTCGCCAGCGCGCTCCCCTTTTTTTGGGCGTACTGCCCATGGATGCCCATGGCTCAACCTGATGCGGTGCTCAATTAGTACTCGCCCTCCTTTCGTCTCAGAGTTTGGATGGCCGCCCCAGTCCCAAAGTGATTGTTTTGAGTGAAGAGATCATAGGCTGAATACTTGCAGAGCGCGCGTCGGGTCTATCGCCCCTGTCTCCGTCTGATCGGGATGACTCAGAGCCCTGAAACGCGGCGCGTCGGACGACTTGACGTTGAACCTCTGAAATCTATCAGCCATACTGAAGGACCACTCCCCCTTCCACAGCCCTTGCATCGCACCATATATATATATATATATATATTTGGTACCCCCCCCCATATGCCCACACTTTTTCCTCTCAGGTGCCATGGTAGGGTTGAGAGGCTTAGGATTTCGAAACCTCCGAGGGCAGCGAGCACGAAAGCGCTCTACTGTACCAATGTTTTAGACCCGGAAGAGCAACAACGCTGTACTGTCCCAAAACAAACAATCTTTTTAAGCAAAAACAAGCAAAAATGCCGTACTGTCCCAAAAAAACCAAAAAAACCAAAGTTTGGAGACCTCCAGGCCCTGGAGGGAGCCCAAGGTCTCCAAACTTTGGTTTTTTTTTTTTGGGTTTTTTGGGACAGTACAGCATTTTTGCACTTTTTGCCTTAAAAAGATTGGTTTTTTTGGGACAGTACAGCACTTTCGAGGCCTGGGACTGCAAAAACGCTGTACTGTCCCAAAAAAACCAATCTTTTAAGCCGATTCATATTTTTTTTATACAAGAGTCCTATTGGTTCCTATTCATTTAGCAAGGTTCCTTCTCATTTAAAAAGATTCCTATGAATTATCACCGGTTCTTTTCAATTTGGCAAGGGTTCCTATTCATTTTAATAGGCTTCCTATTAACTTTTATCGGTTCCGAAAAATATTGGCAGGATTCCTATGAAGTCAATAGAGGATTCCTATTTATTTCTATAGGATTCCAATAAAGTTTCATAGGGTTCCTAATTCTTTTAATAAGGCTCCTACTAATGTAATGAAATTCCTATCAAGTTTAATCAGATGCTTATTCATGTTAATGGGATTCGTATTTATTTTAATAGGGATCTCATTC